ATCGTATGCCTCTCAATTTCCTGTCTACTGTGTTCTTTAGTATCCAATCAATTACAAGGTTGAAGAGGAGAGATGACATAACACATCCCTGTCTTACACCTGTCTTTACTGGGAACGATGTAATGTAATTTTTTATACTGCAGGAAAAGTCTTTATAGAAGAGAGCAATTATGTTGACTATCTTTTCTGGAATTCCATAATGTCGTAAAATTTTCCAGAGACTGTCTCTATGTACGCTGTCAACAGCTTTCTCAAAGTTTACAAAATTAATATATATATACTTCTCTGCCATTCATTGCATTGTTCTAAAATGTTGCATATGGCGAAGATGTGTTCAGTTGTTCCTCTGCCCTTTCTGAATCCTGCTTGTTATACTCGTAGGCATTTATCTACTCCGTTTTCAAGCCTCATTATGATGATTTTACAAAATATTTTGCTTGGTACTGAGAGTAGAGTAATTCCCCTCCAATTATTGCAGTCTGTTGTCTCCTTTTTTAGGGATTTTGACTATTGTTCCTTCAGTCCAGTCATCAGGCAACACTTCTTTTTCCCAAATATCCTCGAACAATGGTTCTAGAATGCTAGCAGTTGTGTTGGGATCTACTTTGAGAAGTTCTGCTGGCAATTCGTCTTTGCCTGGTGCTTTGTTGTTCTTTAAAGTGTGGATAGCTTTAAGGATTTCTTGTTTGCTTGGTGGTTCAGTAATAATGTCAATGTCCTGAGAGGCTGGTTGAATATCTGGGGGATTTTCAGGATCAGGTCTGTTCAAGAGGTCGGAGAAGTGTTTAGTCCACTGCATGTCTTGTTTTTGTTCGGTGGTGAGCAGTCTGCCTTTGTATGGGTATGCTGTGATAATTGTTTCTGCTTCCGCAAATTTGCTGGGTAATTTTGTGTAGGGTTTGTAGATCATGTGCTTTAGCAGCATTTTCTGCTGTTTCTACTAGATTTTCCATAAATATTCTTTTGTCAGCTCTGGCACTTTTCTTTGTCATTTTTTTTAGTTCGCTATATTCCATCACTAGTTTGCCTTTCTGACGTTCTGATTTAGTGTGATCTATGAGGCTCTTTATTCATTTTCGCTTGGCAATGTACTCCATGGTTTGACTGCTCATTCATTCTTTGTGATGTTGTTTCCTGGTTCCTAATATGTTGTTGCTAGTTGTTTTGTATGTTTCTTTGATCTAGTTCCATCTGTCTTGAATGCTGATTGTAGTTTGAGTGTCTGGGTCACTTGATAGGGTTTGAAATCTATTCTTGAGTTCTACTATAAATTTAGTGGCAATGTCTTTTTCTCTTAAAAGATTAACATTGTAGTGTGGTGTCTGTATCTTAACTTGCGTGTGAACTTTTTTGAGTTTAAGTCGTAGTAGAGCAACTACAAGGTGATGATCGCTTCGTATCCAGAAACCATGAGTTGTAAACCCTTTGGCTCGGTACTATGGATATCGCAACCTTTCGGCCTTGATTCCATTATAGGTACCATTAATCTGGGAGAAATGTGGCTTTTCTGCCTACCGGACCATAAGGAGTTCGTTACCCGGCCGCCGCGAAAGTCAGGTTTAACCAACTTCGCTAGAGAGCCGGTAAATTCTGTTTACCATGCCCAGATCGACCATTTCATGGTAAAAGTCGATTTTAAGCGGAGATATTAACATTTTATTTGCGGATACCACCACATAAAAATTATAGTAGAAATGGACAAAACATGGATTCTCGACTGCGACCCAGTAAAATGAAATAACTCAATGTTTGCATTTTACGGCCATAACTTTTTTGTTTCTGAACGAATCCCTTAGCAACCACATATTGCTGGATTTGGGAAAGTGAGACCTAACTGTTTACGCATGTCTCAAATACATACACTACAATATGAGCCTATTTAACATATGAAAATGGCCACAGGATAATTATTTTTCATCAAAATCCTTATACATTTACAGTTGTCTGCCAGCGAGCCTGGCTTAAAACATATCATATTGTGTGTCCTGGCAAGGCGAACATACAGATCATATAAATGTGCCAATGTCAGTTGACGTGACCTAATTAACGTATAAAAACGGCCGCCAACTGCCTTTTTTCAGCAAAAACCGTATACATTTACGGTTTTCTGCCAGTGATCCTGGCAAGATGCACATCATATTGTGTGTCCTGATAAGGCGAACATCAAGTTCATATAAGTGTGAGTTGACGTGACCTAATTAACATATACCGCACCCTCCCCCCCCCCCCCAACAGCGATGTCACCCGAGGTGGTCGTATCTCCGCACAGTAATGACACCCGGGGGGGGGGGGGGGCGCTCCCCTTTCTGCTACCTTCTTTCCCCTGTATCTCTCCTCTTCTTTCTTTCTTTTTCCTTTCCTTTCTTTTCCCCCATGTCTCAGTGCCGACTTTCTTTTCTTAGTCTTTTTTTTTCTTCCTCTCTCCTCCTCCTGCTCCCCCTCTTTCTCAACTTTCTCTCAATCTTCTACTCCCCCCTCCCCCAACTCTCCTTTCTGTATGGTAGAAGAAAACATGAGCCCACTGGTAGTACACGGCCTGTTTTTATAATGGGTCGGTGATAGTGTTAACAACAGGGCAAACACAACAGGTGTGTTCATTTCTGGGAATCAGGTCAGGCAAGATTTTCTTTTCTTTCAAAAATGACCTTGGCTCCCATGTCCACCCAGCATTGAATGTAAGAAATGGATCTATAGCAGCCACACGCGGACAGCCATGCATGGGAGGGTTGCCATTGGGATTTTTGTCAAACCCGAAGCTAAGCAATATAAAAGCAAAAAAAAAAAAAAAAAAAATACACAAATTGATAAATAGTACATATTTTATAGTTGAGAAATGAAACATTTAACCACTTTTATATAAGAATAAAAGAAAAAAAGATTTCAAAATCTTAACCCAAGGTGTCGTATCAATACCCAGTTTTTGGGGGAAAGCCCAAGTACTGGCAGGCCTGATAGACGGGAACCCGGTCAGCGCTGCTGTTGTTTTTTTGGCCACTTAGATTTATCCATTCTGACAGAAAATTCCATGGATACTAAATAATAACAGACGCAAAAAAAATGCTACAAGAGTTGTAGATGTTTAAAAAGTAGCTCACTTAACATTATTATTTACTAAGTGTCTGAAGTTAATTACTAAAGAATCATCTTAGAAAATGCTCAATGATGGTGTAAATTTATTATTGGGATTTGGGGAAAAAATATCTCCAACAGAAAATACGCAGATCTATAAATAATGACAGATGCATGAAAAAATGCTACAATGGTTGTGGATTAAAAAAAATGATTCTTCTTCTTCTTCTTTCGTTCGCCTGAAATAAGTTATCTATATCAGCAGTTTTGTCTCTTGTATAAATTTCACTGTCGTTGTTAGTTCATTCAGTGGTCCATAGAGTTTACGTTCCACTGTTGCTCTTTCTGGCCAAAAGGTTTGCCTTAATATGTCAAATTCGGTGCAGTCCTGGAGTACATGCTCTGCGGTCTGGGGCACATTTCCACCGATGCACATGGCTGATACACTTATCTTGAATTTTGTGTACATGTGGTTACTTAATCGGTTGTGCCCTGTTCTGAGGCGGAAGATAATGACTTGTTCTGGTCTGTCCATAATAAAATAGTCGTCTTGTGCTGGGGCTGGTGGTTTCCTGATCGATTTAATGATTCTTTTCTTTTGGTGGTATGTGACTGGTACATCTGGCTGCTCTTTTTTCGCACCTTCCCCTGCCAGCTTTCTCATTTCCAGGCACTCCACAATGAGACGGTATCCACTGCATTACGACTCTTCGCTGAACGCTGAGTTGTGTCAGCAGTGTTTGCAATTCTGGTAGATTCCTAGACTGGAGTGCTTCAAGTACTAATTTAGCATCTGTAAGCATTACCACATACTGTGAGCCAAGGTTGGTATTTAGCAGTTTCTCTGTAGCTATCTTAATAGCCTGGGTTTCTGCATCGTAGTTATGGCAGTACTTCCCGGTTGGTACGCTGGACTTATCCCTAGTACCATCTGGGAATTCGATGTACACTCCAGCACCACCATTTCTAACTGCACTTTCTGCGGACCCATCTGTATAGACTCTGACCCATTGTTCTTGTGGGTATTCTTCATCAATATAACTGAGGGTGGCCATTTTGCGTTGTACACTATCTTGCTCTTTCTTGTCAAATATCCCTTTCACATTTGTCTGGATTTGTACCGTTAGTTTACATTTTTCTCTCCATGGGGTTTGTTCCGGAATACTTTTTAGTGGGCAGCCAATTTCTGGAAGGTCAGGAGTTTGTCTACATATTCTTTCTGCTTGGTGTATAAAGCTGCTTCTTTTTAACCGTCCCAAGGCTAGGTTCTTAAATCTATTTTCCATCGGGTGATCTGGCATACTGAGGAACTTTTCAGCTTGTATTTGCAACTTTGTATCTCTGCGTTCTCTCAGTGCCTGTGTTTTCCCTGCTTTCTCCATTTCTAATATGGGGGTTGAATTCATCCCTCCTGTGATGACTCTGAGCGCTTGATTTTGCACTTTGTCTAACTCCTTTAATGTGGTACTAGATGCTGAACACCATGCAGTTGACCCATATTCCAAGTGTGGAAGTATGCTCTGCTTGTATACTTTATTGAGTATTTTCCCATCTGCTCCCCATGTGGTTCCACTTAGTTTTCTTAGAATTGCTGTCTTCCTCCTGGCTTTGGTTGCTGCCTTGTTGATATGTTTTCTCCATGTCGACCTGTCATCAAATGTGACTCCTAGGTATGTGGGCTCTTTATCATCTCTCAGGGTTATTTCGTTTATTTTGATGGTGCCGGCTTTTTGCTTTGGGGAGAGGGTGAATAGTGTGGTGCTACATTTGTCTGTGTTGATGCTGACACACCATCTATTGGCCCATGCCTCAAGTGCATTTGTAGCCCGCTGTAGTGTTTTTGTGGCTATCGTTGCATGTTCATTGTTGCACCACAGTACTAGGTCGTTGGCATACATTGCCATTTTGATTCCATTTGGTATCTCAGCAACCAGATCGTTGATAAATAAAAGGAAAAGTGTGGGCGACAGGACACCACCTTGAGGGACGCCTTGTCGCAGTAGAACTTTTTTACTTTTAAAACCATCTACCTGTACCCGGGCTCTTCTGTTATGTAGATATGCTTTAATCCAATTGTACATTTTTCCATTAATTTTATAGTTTCTCAATTTCTTCAAAAGCCCCTCCTTCCAAACCTTATCAAAAGCTTTCCTTAAATCTATCCATGCCGCGAGTACCAGTTTCTTATCTTGAAAAGCATCCTCTATTTCTTGGGAGAGGTATGTTGTCTGGTCTTCCGTAGAATAGAACTTTCTAAAGCCCGCCTGCTGTGGTGTAATGATGTTTTCACTTTCAATGTACCACTGTAGTCTGAAGTTGGTGATACGCTCCATTGTTTTACAGAGACAACTTGTGAGGCTGATTGGTCTGTAGTTGGAGGCATTAGAACTGTCTTTCCCAGGCTTTATGAGGGGTATCATAATTGCCTCTCTCCAAATCAGTGGAACATTCCCTGTTGCCCAGCAAGCATTAAATATCTGTAAAAGCTTTGTTTTGGCTACTTTTCCTAAGTTTCTGATCATTTCGTTTGATATACCATCTGCTCCTGGTGACTTCCGCATTTTCAGCTTTGAAATGGCCAACTCCAGTTCATTAAGTGTAATTGGCACCTCTAGCGCCTCTGATGTTTTTTCTTTCTGACTTCTAAATTGTGTCTTTTTTGAATTTCGTGTTTTTTCTCTGAACTGATTTCAATGTCGTTATCTAAAGCAAAAGTGTCCGCAAATAGGTTGGCTGCCTCTTTTCCTGTGAACATGTTTCCATCTTTCTGCAGCGTGATCTTTGAGTTCCACCCTGTGTTTTCATCATTAATTTGTTTCACAAGCTTCCATAACTTTCTTGTGTCTTTTTCAAAGTTCAGCGACCTTGTTTTCTCCTGCCAGCTTTCCCTTCTAACCTGCAGCTTTGCCCTTACAAATTTTGCTTTTGCATGCTGGTAGTTATTGTGATGTTCTTGGTTTGGCCTGGTCTCTGCTATCTTTCTGGATGTTTCTACTTCGTTATGTAAATTTTCTAGCTCATTACTCCAGTATGGCTTATAATGCTTACGGGCACCTCTTGGTATTGATTCTCCTGCTGCCTTTAGTACGCATTTGTTAAATTCTTTAACTACTTTGTTTATATCCTGGTCTACGCTGAGACTTCCAAGCAGTATACTGGTACGGTGCTTGAACATTGTCCAGTCAGCCTTCTTGTAGTTCCACCTTGGCAGCGTACTAGTTTCTCTGACCTTCTCATTTTCTACATTCAGGAAGACCGGTCGATGGTCACTGCCTCCCAGTTGATTTCCAACAACTCGTTTAATGTTCCATTCCAGATCTGGAGAGTGAACTGCTAGGTCTGGGGTAGTAGTGGTGTGCCACAACCTCGAGTAGAATGTGGGTGGATCAGTTGGCCTATTAATAAGAACAAATCTGTTCTCATCCTGCCACTCCTCCAGTTTCTCTCCTCTCTGGTCTATATGGTCATATCCCCAGCTTTGTGAGTGGCTGTTAAAGTCTCCACATAGAATCATCTTTTCTTCCACTGAGATTGTGTCTAAAGCCTGGGGACGATCATTTGGGCAGTAATAATTGATCAGGTAGAAGTATGCATTTCCAGTTTGTAGTTTCAGAATCTGATATTCTGCTCCATCCATAAATACTTTAGTCTGGCTAGCAGTGATATTGTCCCTCACAAGAGTCAATATTCCACTCTTTTTCCTGCCTTTCCGGTCTGATCGGAAGCACTGATAACCTCTGATTTTGAAGACTGTGTCTTCAGTGAGGTGGGTTTCCTGTAGACAGCATATATGAATCTGTTCCTCATTTAGAATATTTTCTAACTCTAGCTTTTTATTTGTAATCCCCTCTGCATTCCAGTGCATTAATTTGACTCCTTTCTTAGTTCGGCCAGATACTCTATTCTCACGTCCCCTGGCTCCACAGGACATTTGAGAAGGACCTCCAGTAATTTGGGTCTGGCCTCTTCGAGGCAGAGGGCCCGGCACTGCTCCTGCCTGAGAGTCCATCACAGGGCGAGCACCATAACGTTTTGCTGATATAGACATATTTCCATGGCGTGTATGCGTGGCATCCTGATTGCTGTGGTGCTCCTCTTGGCTGGTTGCCTCCGACTTCAGCACCTTGTTTTACTAGGGTAGACTGTGATCATACTCGAGGAGAGAAGGCTCATCCATTCGTCTTTCGCCTTTATCTCGTTTGTTGTCCCATCCGGTTTCCCGCTGGGGGTTGAGACCCCAACCTTCAACTGGATTGCTGGGAAGAACAGGGTCCACCACGTGAAGGTGAGGTAGGCTTGAGCAAGAGAGGCTAATAGACATTAAGAGTCTTGTATTGCGCATCATTGCTCCATTAGGACCCCCCCCCCCCCCCAAAAAAAAAAAAATGATTAAAATAACCTTAGCTAATTTAATAATTATTTTAAGTTATTTATAAAGCGGGACAAGCGGTCTTCTAGTGCAAACATATTGAATATTGGATTTAAAGCATAAACAGTGATGCCACTAAACATTATTTTTTAAACATTTGCGCTCAGCAAATCTTTGTCAAATTTCCCACTTATATAAAAATTAACGCAGAATTTAAAAATAAACTACAAATTGCCTCAATCTGGCTAATTAAGAAGACATTTACGAACTTATTTGCTGTTAATTCACTGAGTGCTGCCCAAAAAAATTGATTTATTGTATGCTCGTCAAAACCATCTCAGGCCAAAGCCTAGCATCTCTCCAACAACTCCTAATAATTGTTCCTATTTGATCTTTCACGTTAGGAGCACGGAAAAATATTTTCTCAATAACGGTCAATTCGGGCTGATTTTTTCGGTCGCGGAGGCGTCCCTAGTTAAGGATGAAAATGTAAAGCAAAATAAACGAAACAGAACGTCCCATTGCTATAGCTAGATTCTGTAATGTATTCTTCAATGATTTGCTTGCCGCTTCTCTTGTCTCCCTAATATCTAAATTCGTCTATCGAGCGACACACCGAAGTTAACTATGGCTCCAACTTTGTTCAGTGGTGTCTGTGGCTTCGTATGTCTCTAACCTTTTTTTCAGGTACCGCCCCCGTTCCCAGTATATGGCAACACCCCCCCCCCCCCCAACCCTATTACAATATGTGATTAGGAAAAACTGTTAACAAGAACTTGGAGAAAATAAAAAATCAAAGAAACAATTACCAACAACTGGTAATTTAGTGTTAAGATATCAGTGTGATTGTTGACATTGTTTTGTCTCAAAGATGTCTGTTATCTGGGCTTAGTAACACTACAAACAACCGATAAACACGGGGCTGGTTTGTGGTGTTTTGTAAACGATATGCATGTAACTTTTTGGGTTTTGAGTTGGTTATCTATGTCAATGTTTCTGCACCATATAATATTGTATGCCATATACACTTGATCACTGATTGTTATATCATATGACTATATTGTTTGGATCTAGAGCTATGAGTTGAGATTTAGCAATCAACATCATAGCACACAGGACATTCCAATGGGAGTTTACTCCTGATGTTCTGCTGTACGCGCAGTGCTCCAATTCCAGTTGTACTACTGACAATCTGATTGTGTGTCTCTCTCACCCCTCCCTAAGTGTTGAGCGTCAGTCAGGTGTCCTAGCCACTCCCCTGCAGCACCATTATCTTTAGACTGTGACGACTCATGTGTGCTTCCACGAAGTTTAACCGCTTCCAAAGGGCTTATACAATATCTATCTTGTCATGCATTAGTTTGCCACCAAGTGATGCACACAAATATAGACTATCATGCTGTTCATTTCCCATCATACCGGCATTCCCTGGAGGAAAAAAAAAATCCAAACTACACTGGACTTCTGCAGCGATGCTTGCCACTCTGCACGGAGTATACCTATGCCCACCTTCCTCAGTATACTCTGTGAGAAAGTTACAATTACAACATGTGTGTGCAACTGACTGTTGAGCCAGCGAAAGGCTGCACTGACCGCCTCCAACACCATTCTCAAATTTCGCTTTTGCTGTGAACCCCATGCTCTTCTTCTGCCTCTCAACACAGAGCCATCAATATAGACGATCACACCAGCTGGGCAGGATTTGCTTCTGATTCCGCAGCACCAGCTGGCCAGTCCCTGCACTCACAGCCTAATGTGATTAGAGCCCAACACAAATCTGATTCTTACTCGGTGAGTTTGACCTACTCCTCTTTTCGTCCAGTATTCTCAATCCTGCCACATATCACTTGTGTTTAGTTATAGTTCACTTTCGTATTTCTGTATCTCTGATTTAGTTCTTCTTTACCAACATTAAGAACCCCGAGGTTCATTGCTGCAGCTCTCGACTGCTTCATTGATCTTTCTGGTTTGCATTCCTGTTCATTTGGCGACTGCACTAGTGATTGTGTGGGTCTTCCAGTCCAGGATGTCTCAATCGCCTGTCTCTGTCTTTTCCCATTAAACTTGTTTGTCGAAATATGTTGTTCTCAAAAGCTTGTAACAAGGCTTTGTCTCTTTTATTTCTAACAGCTGTCATTAACTGTCCGAGGTTAGAAAAGATGTTCGCTTGTTTAAGTTTCCCCTCTTCACTGCGTGCCATGGGTCTCTCTCTGTACTTGACTTCTGTGAGTAGAGATCAATGTGTGTTGTCAGCTAGTTTACGGTCTCACAGGTGTCAGCTGAGCGGTTCCGGGATCTCGACCGTGTTACACTGACTTGTTTCTGGAAAGCCTAGCAAGCAATGACAATAGCTGCGACAGGAAACTTGACACACCAAACTAAACGACGTGAACACGACAAGAAGGTCGTAGGTTAATGGTAGTGTATCTTTATGGTAGTGTCAAATAAGCGGATAGAGCGACAGTTCTAGGCACGAATTTAGTAACTTGTAAATTGTAGATACGGTTGAGACACGTTCTGCTGTATAAGATCATTTCAAAGGTGAGTAGTTATTCTTTGAGATTAATGCCATGTCTATATTACCTTTAGTGTTGATAGTTTGTATATGAGTTCGGGGGGGGGGGGGGGATACGTAAATTTCAGAAGTAGACGAACAACCCAAACTTTCCGCTACTAGAGTTTACAGCCGGTGAACACTAAGAAGTGGCAGCAGCCCTGAGCGGTAGGTTTTCTCAGTATATGCAAGTCTTCAAACAGCAGCCCCTGAGCGGTAGATTTTCTCAGTATATGCAAGTCTTCAAACAGCAGCCCTGAGCGGTAGATTTTCTCAGTATATGCAAGTCTTCAAACAGCAGCCCTGAGCGGTAGATTTTCTCAGTATATGCAAGTCTTCAAACAGCAGCCCTGAGCGGTAGGTTTTCTCAGTATATGCAAGTCTTCAAACAGCAGCCCCTGGTAGCTTCGCCCGGTCAGACCAAAAGTTCCAATTGTATTTTGATTTCGCTGCTTATGGCCCCTCCTTACGGTGTCGCCTGATGTGGTCGCTCTATGTATCACAAAAAGGCAAGGCTACTGTATCTACT